AACTCTTAAGAAACCCCATCTTTGGAAGACCAGGAAAAGAACCTTTTTTTTTTTTAAGATTTTATGTGTTTATTTGACTTAACCTTTGGCTTAACCCACTGACCCACCCAGGTGCCCCAAAAAGGACCTTTGATAGCAGAAGAGAGGGGGAAATCCTGGAGAGGTGAGAGAACTGAAAAAGCATCCCCTAGTTTTGTGTATGAAGTGACTTAAGTTCCAGGCTTACCTCTAAGCTGCGCACACACAGAATATATAAAACATAACGAAGGCTTTGAGAAGTAAAAACTATTGAACTATATAAGGTATATATAGTTTATCTATATACATATTTTATTGTATATATGAATAGTTTATAACTAAACTATAAGCCACTGCCTAAGTCCTAGGTCAATCACTGATACATACATGTATTGGACAGACCCAAACCAATATAACAAAGGCTTTGAAAACTGAACTGATACTGGAACTTCTTCCCACAAAGAGTAAGGCAGACAGAACTGGTTCAATCTAATCAGGATGATTGTCTGCTTTAAAATATTAAAAAAAAAAAAAAAAAATCTCCAGGGGCACCTGGGTGGCTCAGTTTGGTTTAGTGTCAGACTCTTGATTTCACTCAGATTGTGAGTTCAAGCCTCGCCTCTGTGGGTGTTGGGCCTGGAGCCTGCTTAAGATTCTCCATCTCCCTCTCCCTCTGCCCTCCCCACCCAACCCCCCTGTCTCAAAAAAAAGAAAAAAAAAATGCAGAAGACCCACCTAAGGGAGGCCCAAACTCCCAACCGAAAGAAATAGGAAAGGATAAGGTGCCGGGAGGAGGGGGGTGGAGAACATGAGCATCTGTTAACAAACATATAGCGCCGGAGATGTGACTCACTGAGGTTTTAAAAAAGGCTTCAGAAATAAACATGGGTTTGGATTCCAACTTCATTTACTAGTTGTGTTTCTGACCTAACTTCTTTAGCCATATGTGAAAACTACTTAGGTGGTAATTATATGAATCATCTCATTTTTATTTCTCTCAATCTTATAAGGAAAGTGTAATTATCCTTGTTTTATGATGATTCATATAATCATGGCAGTTCACACAATGCCTATCACAGAGTAAATGTACAGTCACCCAGGCTCTAGTTACTTGCAATGGTCCTTTCCTATTTCTAAACGTGACAGTTTTCTTCTAGGAAGAAGGGAGGATTGCTTCCTCCATCCCTAATGTTTTGCTTATTCATTCACTTATCTCTTCTACCACTGTCCATCAGCTTCCATTCTGTGCCAGGCTCTAGGCCAGAAGACTAATTTAAGGACTTGGGGGAAAAAAAAAAAAAGAACCACTTCCTTAAAAGAAATTACCAAAATTCATTCAAGAGGGCGCCTGGGTGGCTCAGTGGGTTAAGCCGCTGCCTTCGGCTCAGGTCATGATCTCAGGGTCCTGGGATCGAGTCCCGCATCGGGCTCTCTGCTCGGCAGGGAGCCTGCTTCCCTCTCTCTCTCTGCCTGCCTCTCTGTCTACTTGTGATCTCTCTCTGTCAAATAAATAAATACAATCTTAAAAAAAA